TTATTCCGGTTAAAGCATTTACTTTAGCATTGAAACGATTTGCTCTACGAAAGCTATCGGTAGAAGGGATTCACGAAGATCACCCGCTCTCATCTTATTTAGCAGAAGTATCCATTGGTTGTTGGCCCGATGATATCGACGAAAATTTAATTGAAGACATATTCCCCGAGTCACTTCTAATTAAAAATACACATGCTGCGTATCACTTCGCAAAAAATAGGATGGAGGGAGGTAAAAATAATTTATTTTCAGAAACTGTTATTAACACACATGATATCTAATTAGATCGATTTCTTTAGATGTTAGAATGGAAAGAAACTCCATAGAAAAACATTCTAAAAGTGGATAGAGATTTAAATATAAATTTTTGTGTAAAACAGGCGCTATCATGAACTTTGCAAATAATATTGTAATTGATAGTTGGATTTGGATCAACGAAAATTTATAACATCAAATAATTTTAATTCAAGTAAATTATTATAATTTTATATAAAAAATTTGTTTACAAACTAGGATAATAAAATTATATTATCAATTTTAATTTAAAAGACTCTCTTTACACTCATTAAAAAATTATAAAATTACTATATTAAAATTTTTTAAAAATTTCTTTGCAAGAGAAAAACATAAAAGACTTTGTAGATTCTTCTTCAAAGAATTAACTTATGCAATAATGATATGTTTTTTTGAATATTTTTGTTGCTAATATATATAAAAATCATTTTTTTTCTACAAAAACAACAAAATAAATAAACTGAATATCACTAAACATTCTTTAATTTTAGTTTCCAAACATAATAATTAACTTTAATTTGTTTTACTTTTATATAAAAATTATTGATACATAAATATAATACAAAGTAATGGCTACTATTTTAAAATAAAAAATTTTTTAATTTTATAATCTTCGTTTCAGTGTTTATACCTTTCCACTTAAATATATAATACACAAAATATATTTTTATTATAATTATGGTGAAATTTTATAATTCAATAGTATATATATATATATACTGTATATTTAAAGTCCAACTTGACTGAAGTAAAATTTATTAAGTATTTATAACAGTATTGATTATATGAGAAATTCATCTAACCTATTTTTCTATACTATCTATCCAATTAAATACTTCAATTTTGTCACAATATAATATTATTTTGTCAATTGCCCTACTATATCTAGGCTATATAGCATTTATCGTTCACTATTGGACTCATATTATTTTATTTTTTCAGGATGCTTGAGATATGTATTCCTTAGTTCTTGATACTTTGTTTTCATATTCTTGTTTGTATTACTATAGTAGATTCTTACTATATATAGACTACAAAAATCTGGTTGGACTCAAATATATACAGGCCCTATAGTCTTATACTAATATCCTAGTAATTTAATAATATTGCTTCATTAATTGATCAATAGTCTTCCATTGCTTCATTCTTAACCACTCTTCAAATAT